AATGAAGGTAAGCAAAAATTTATGCCAGCCAACATATTTATTTGAAAAATATTTGATGGATCAATATATTTTTATATAAGTGTATCTTGACCACCTGAATTTTAAATCTTATTAATAATTACACTAAGATTAATTTGAACTTAATAATAGCACTTACTGTTCACTATGCAGTCTTTTAAGTGCTTAATGGATGTTAACTTAATTCTCACAAAACATATGATTTGGTCCCATTGTTTATTAACCATTTTGCCAACTAGGAAGAAACTGAGGTAACAAAAGACAATATCTTTGTCCAAGATCACACTATTTGTGAATGGCAGGGCTGCGATTTGAACACTGGCTGTTTAGCTCCATGTGCTAAAACACTACACCATATCACCCTGAGAAGCAATTTGCACATCAATACACATTTATCGCTCATAAGTGGTAAAGCCAGGATTTTATCCTAATTGATTTAGGGTCAAAGCTCTTTCCCATCACAATGTATACTGCCTCTCACATTCTCATACTTAAACTTCACTTTCACTCTTGTCAGCAGCCACTAACAGAAGGTAGCGCTGTGAAGATCCAGTGCAACAGACACTCTGAAGCAGTGTAGAAAAAGAAATCCTAACCACCAGTTCATCCGCCATAGCACAAACTCTTGGAGTTTGTTGGTGGATATTGGCCCCTTTGAGTCACCCCAAGCTTGTGTGCTGTGCTCTCCTCTCTTCATTCTCAGGAGCTGGTGTAGTTGATGGAACAGGCACTAGACCAGGGAGTTAGAGACCTGGATTCTAGTCTTAGAGGAGCCTTGGAAGGGCAGAAAGTCATAAGCAGGCTGGTCATCACATACATGGCTCCCTGAATTTTCTCAACTACTAAGTGAGTGTGACACCTAGTTTACAGGTGAGCGATCTGAGATTCAGAGAGTGAGGTATAATTCCATCAAGGTCATAAAAGACAGTATTTCGTCCAGGTCTGCCTGCCTGACTACAAAATCTTCATGTCTACTTGACCAAGTTGCCTCTAAAGCCACTTAAATCCTCTGAATCTCAGACTCTTCAAATATAAAAAGGTAATTGTCCTAAATCAATACTCTCTCTGCCATGGAGCCCTAGCGATTTTTCAAAGGTGTCTCAGAAGTCATTTTGCAAAGGAAGTTCGAGACAAGGCCCAGACACACACACACACACACACACACACACACACACACACACACACACACTCACACACTCACACACTCCACCCCCCCATCCCTCAAAACAGAGCAGTGCCCCTTTGACAGTCATAAATCTTGATTTCCACATTTAGCTTGATGGGGATTTTGCTGCTAAAACAAGTTTGGGGACCACTCTACAGTGATCTTTTGGTCCCTCTTAGCTTCAATACCTAGAGAGGATCGGCATTGTAAAGGTACAATAACTGGTGAATCAGGCCAGTCAGAGGGAGACTTCACTGTCACCTGGCTGGCTCAGTCTAGAAAACATGGAATGCCTTTGAAAGTAAAGGCCGTGCCCGAACTTCTGTCGATCTAAACATAATTTGAGAAAGTGTTTTGGTTGTGTGTGTGTGAAGATGGCCTTCTGACCGATAGCAAGTTAGAGAAAATCACAGTCTGAGTTTTCCTCTTTATCGATCATCAGTCCTTGAGGGTTTCAATTGGTCAGGAACAAAAGGGATTGAGCATTTGTGGTTTGTTCAATTTGAAAGCATTTATTTTTCTCTTCCTAGTTATCTTGTCTCATCCTTTTACGCTCTCCACTTTCAACCCTGTCTTCCTCCTCTGGCCCTGAAGCCAAGTGTTAGACAAGAAAGGAGTGTGGTCTGTGTTGGCAGGAAATGAGTAAATTCATTTACTCCTTCCCCTCACCTGCATTCCTTCACAGAGTAAACCTGGAGCTTAGATGCCACTTATCAGGTAGGCATTTTGATAAATGCATGAAGAGTGAAGTTATTTTTCTCCATCCCTTAAAGCTCATAGCCTTTCATTAAAAGTTACATATGTAGATAAGAACAAATGCTACAAAAGACAAGTGTTATAGTGATGGTGATCGCACCTTTAAAAATACACTTATCGAGGTATGCTTTACATATCATAAAATTCATACATATTAAGCATGCAATTCAATGATTTTTAGTAAACATACAATTGCACAATCATCACAATTCAATTTTGGAACATTTCCATCACCCCAAAAAGACCCCACAAGCTCATTTGCAGTCTTCCTGCTCCCACCTCCAGTCCTAGGCAAAGACTAATATACTTTCTCTTTCTTATAGATTTGCTTTCTCTAAGCATTTCATATATGAAATGGCATCACGTAATATGTGGTATTTTGTGACTGGCTTCTTTCATTTAACATGCTTTTTTGGAGGTTCATCCATATGTTAGCATGTCTCAGTACTTCATTCCTTTCTACGTTATTACATTTTTAAATGGCAGCGCTATATAGAGGAAAGATGGTGGATCTCAAAAGCATGCAAACGTAGGCTGAAGCAGAGTGGTTCCACTTCTTAGGTGTATGACTTTGGACAAGTTCCTTACTCTCTCTGAGACCCATTTATAAGATAGAGACAATCAATTCTTCCCTCAGGAGATAATTCTGTGAATACTGGAATTGTGTAGGCAAACAATGGGCTCTCAAGAAATCCAGCCTTTCTACATATTCCCCAAGAATCTTTGCGTTATTTACCCCTGCTTCAAATTTTAAAATAAATCAATGGAAGCGAGATCCCAGTAACTAGCAGTATCAGGAATGGAATTCCACCAAGGGGAATTACATCCTTCATTAATGAAGCCCAGATGGTGAGGAGCTAAAGGGATTTCCTTCAATTATATTGCTGTCATTTTTTTTTAAAAAAGAAGTTTAAACTGTATTTAATTATTATTTTAAGGAGGAAAAGGATGCTAATTCTATTCTAGAACATTTTATAGAGTTGGCCTACCCTTGCAAGGCTCTAAGAACAACATATTTTCCCTCTAACTTATAAAACTGCCCCTGATAACATCAGCCCTCAGGTAATATGTAAGCAAGGCACAAAGGGCTCCAAACCCCAGAGTAAATAAAATCCACCTTAAATCCTCATATCTCAACTTAGTTTCAGGTTCTTTGTGTCCTAAACAGTTTCACAAGTGTAGCACAAAGACTAAAAGGAACTCCTTGTTTGTCTATCCAGTCCACCTTCTCTGATTAGAACATGTCATCAAGTTTAGTTCCAACTTTAAGGGATCTTGGCTATAACCCTATTATATACTCTTATACAGAAAGTTTACAAAGGTGCTGCTCCTTAGCTCTGAGCATAACATTATCTGTTCTAAACCTGCTTTTCCTTCTGAATCATTGTTTCTCTATCATTTTTAATCCATCACTATTCCCCTTTTGTTTCTGATTTTTTTTTTCCCCTTCTTGTCTGGGATGTATCACAGCTGCATTTCTTTCCCCAACTCCTGAAGAAACACACTTAATTGCTCTCCGCCTCCTAGATTCACTCTCAGATTCACTTCCTATTAAGTACAGTATAACAGTTAAAACAAAAAAGGATAAGGCTTCTCAATTTTTCCTACTAAAATAGGTTCATGAGATTTTATTTATCTCTCACTTCAAGGAGATTAGCATGGGTATCTATTTCATGATATAAAATGCCCGTTGTCAAATGTAAAGTAGTTATTAAGAGAGGCAATATACGGCTTTCAGATCTTTTTACCCCAGTAATAGTCACTATACACACTATTGGCATTAGAGATAGCAAAGAGTGAGTCTTTCAAATAGGTAAATTAGATATAATTTCTACAGATGATGATTCCACAATACTATCAAGTGAGTCTGACTAGCTTGCACTTCTATTGTGATAAAGCCATACTCACGCAGATAAACAGATAAAGGCTATATTCAGAATGAATCTAACCCTTAATTTGTATTTCTATACAAATTCCTGTTTCCTTTCTGTATGTATTTATCAGAAAATAAGAACTGTGAACAAAACCCATGATTAACTGTTTTTCCAATACTACTGAGAGATCAGGAAAAAGTGGGTGGGGTCCCAGGAAAGAAGTTTTCACTCACTGCATTATCACCTAAAATAAGCTTGGGAATCCATAAATGCAGTAAAAATAATTGGGGGGTAGGGGAGGAGATTCATAAACAGCTTAGGTTTAGTTAGGTTAGTGAATTTTCCCAATCTTTAAAAAGTTTTCTTATGCTAAAACTTTCCTTTCAGACGTAAAGTACAGCATGACAACCATAGTTAATAACATTATATCACGTATTTGAAAGTTGCTAAAAGAGTAAATATTAAGAGTTTTCATTACAAGTAAAAAAAATTAACTTTGTGATGGATGTTAACTAGACTTACTGTGGCGATCATTTTGCAGTGTATATAAATATCAAATCATGTTATATACCTGAAACTAATATAATGTTATATGTCAACTATATTCCCCCTCCACCCCCCCAAAAAGCACAAGAAATTAAAAACAACAAGAAAAACAACTTCCCTTTCGTACACTATAGTGAAGAGAGTAATGTATATCCACGACTTTATTTTAGGGTTTTATTTTAAATGGTATCATAGAAATTTATCTCATGATATAAATAGTTCAGTAGATCTGGGATTTACCAAAGATTTTCTCAACTGCACAGGCCTTTTGTGCAGTAGATGTTTAGCAGCAGATGACAAAGTAATCTTGAGGCATGATGATATAATTTCTGTTTAATGCCCAAACATCCTGCAAAAATATCTTAAGCTTCCAATTCCAATATGTGGCCATCCTATTAAAAGTTAATTAAAAAAAAATCACTGACCAAAATCTTCAATATATAGATAAGAATTATACTACCTTTGATTCCGATTTGGCCTACAGTTTGTTTATAGCTCCCTAGAGAATTCTGACCTCATGGCGATTGGCCAAAACACCGTTATTTGCAGAGTTCATTTCTGAGGCCTTGGCCACCACAAATATCTGTCAGCATGCATGCATCCTGTATATAAATTACCAAATCATGCCAAGAGTCTCCTACCCTGAGATGGCAGCAAGTTTTTGGTGTGCCTGACGGGCCATTTCACAGCCTTTGGTTCTTGTCTTGTGCATTTCCGCACGGAGTGAGGGGCAGCTGACCGAGACGTCCCCAATAGAAATGACCAACTCTCGGTACAGGGCCACTTGTGTGTTGAACTCTTGGACAAGCTGGAAAAGAAGCGAGGTTCTTTCACGAAACACCAGAAAATTTCCTATTTTGGTGTACATCAACAAGGGTTTCTACTAACACCTTAACCCCCACTCCCCACCCCACCCTACCTCATGGCCAATTTCCAGCTAAAAAGCTTACAAATAGTTTAAACATTAAGGCACAAAGATGGTAATTTCTCTTAGTCCAAGGCAAGTATTTATTTTTCATCGATAAGTCTGGTCATGGAAGCTCTATTTCCAGACCTACTGGCCCCACCCATTCAGACTCAGTTTCTGAAGAGCAAGAAAGAGCCTATTTGGATCGTTACCATTGCCACTCCCAGGTCACTAGAGAGCGATGCTGGGAACTCGACCACAGACCGCTCCCCTCTGTTACAGCTAGGACATGGATTTGAAGTTGCATGGGGATAAAGGCCAAAGGTAGGTTGTAATTGGCAAACCATTCACCTCTTGTGGGACCCCTGAACTGCTCAGGCTCCGGAGCCTGATGAAAAGACCGGCCACAGTCTCTGCACTGGAACCTTCATCCTCTCCGCAGCGCCCCGTGCGCTCTGTTTGGGTTTGTTTGTTACAGTCTCCCCACAGAGCAGCACCCCCACCTCCCCTTCCCTTCCCACCCTAGTGAGCAAGCCAGTTCACTGTGTCTTTCTCATCCACCATTCTCCAAGGAGATAGAGGCACAACCTATAGCCGCTGGCCCCAAGACTCTTGCATGGCACTTCTTTGCGGGGTCATTACGACCCGAGTGTCACCCTGAACCTGGGGGACAGCAGATTTAAAAATAGTGCATGTGCACATGATTGGCATGGAGGAGCTGAGGGTGGGGGAGTGGCTGGCACTCAAGCAAAAGGTTAACATACACGATTCCCCCACTTCCTCTCCAGGAAAAAAATAACAGTTTTCACCTACCATCTTGCAGTCGTCCAGGGCTCGTTGGGTTTTGTGGGCGCTCTCGGAGCCGCTGCCCCTGCGTTCCCACTCCCCGCTCTGCAGCTGGGGCTTGCTGATCTGAAAGATCGAGGAGCGGGTGGATCGGCTGGGGCGCTTTTTGCGCCCATTCGGTGCAGAACTCATGCATACACATCCACCAAGCCCAAGCCGCTGGTGCAGTGCGCCCCGGCGCGGGCGGCCCGGTTCTTGCCCTTCGTGCCGCCGCCAAGCAGCCGGAGCGAGGACCCAAGGCGAGGCACTCACAGGGTTGGGGCTGACTGCACGGGTGGGTAACCTTCAGCTTGAAGGAGATCCGGAGAAGCGCTGGCTGTGCCGTGCAGCATCGCTTCAACTAGCAGTGAGGAAGGGGCTCGATCAAGTTCTGCTCAGTAGCATTGCTGACCCTGTCCCGGGAGCTGAGCGCTGGCGCGGGTTCGCACCGTCTTCCCCTCGACATGGATTGCAAGGCTCGGTGAGAAGGAACGCGCCGCCCGGCGGTTCCGAGTTTCCATTCAGATGGGGGAGCAGCTTTCAAAGCCTGTGCGGCGAAGTGGAGGGGGGGGTGCAGGGGGGTGGTGAGTGTCGCTCTTGCTTCAGCGTCTTCCTGCAGCAGCGCTGGGTTTGTCTTCCCCCGCCCTCCCCCGTTGCCAGGCCTGAAAGGGCCGACAGTCCCTGAAGCAGGCAATTGGCTCTAATAGGCTGCCTTGATCCCGTGTCTCTATGGGCTCATCTGTTTGAGGATCCCAAATGAATCTGTGGTGGGACTGGCAGACGCAGGGAATCGGTCCCGCTGACGTTGTTCGTGGCTCTGCACATTGATAGGACCGGAATACTAATGTGATCCATCCATACAACCACCTTTCCCCTCCACAGTGTATGCACTTATCCAATCAAATCCGCGGGAACATCAATTGGAATATTACTTCATCTGCTCTATTATTAGAAACGAAAAGTGTCATCAGAGTGGAGCACATTGTCACATGCTGGGATCTAAACAGGGATTTCTAGTCAACCAGTGTGGACTTGAGGCCCTCATACCTGAGACTGCTTGGGGCCACAGATTATCAGAGCCCAAACCTAGGAGGGAGTGAGGTTTTTGCTTCAAAAGGATCTCTTGATAACAAAAGAGGAAAGCTTTGTTTCCCCGAGGTTGTGTTGTGGTTGTGTTTTTGCTTTTTGTCTTTGTTCAGTGTGTGTGGGGAGGGAGACAGGAAGCCAGTGGGACAGAATGCTCGGAGGCCATCAGTCACATGGTCCTCATTTCATTGTTTTAATTAGTAAAGCTCTTGGTCTTGTCTTCCAGCATCTCAAGATCCCTAGCTCTCAGAGTTTCTCAATACGAACTTGAACAAGTAAGAGCCGCAGACCTCCCTTACCACTCAAAATTCCCTCTTCTCTTTTATGGGACATCAGTGACCCAGAGGACAATGGAGGTGGCCCCCAAAAGTGAAAAGGATGCCTGCATGAAAGGGAGTGGGAGTGAGTTCTGGGAACACTTAAGTCTACCCTTTCCACTTACAGCTTAAGATTCCTCTGGGAGGCAGAGTGGTAGAGTGGGTATTCAATTCCAACACTCTGAGAATACTAGTTCCCATGAATGACTTATTAGGAGGGGACAGATAAAGAGGTCTGCCACTGGGGAACTAATTGTGTGTTGAAAAGCCTAATGAAGAACAAATCACAGGTTTTTGGTCAATCTCTTAAGGAGCTATGGAAGGCCCCGAGGGAGAGCCAGATATAGCCAGGAAGGCAAACACTCTAGGGAGGGTGACTCGAGAATTTCTTTTACAAGCCAGGTAAACACAATGGGGTGCTGTGGTATAATAAGAAAGAGATTTCTTTGTCCCCAGTTCTTGGCACAGAACTCCTAAAACCCTTGGAATTCCCTGAAGGATAAGGGTGGTAAGCCCCTTGTCACCAGAAAGATCAAGCCTTGATTAGAGGCCTGAAACTTTCAACCCAAACCCCCAACTTCTGGGGTTGGGGAGAGGGTCTGGAGATTGATTTAATCATGAAAACCCATAATGAAATCTCCACAAAAACTCCCAATAGATGGGAATCACAGAGCTTCTGGGTTGAAGATATAGAGTAGTTGGGAGGGTGGCATGGCCAGAGAGGGCATGGAAGCTGGCTATCCCCCTTTCCTATACCTTGCCCTATGCATCTCTTCCATTTGGCTATTCCTGAGTTGTACTCTATATAATAAACAGGTAAGGAAAGCATTTCCCCAAGTTCTGTGGGTCATTCTAGCAATTATCGAATGGGGTGGGGGTGTTGTGGGAATCAATTTTTGTAGCCAAGTCGGAGAGAAGTGTGGGTAGCCTGGGGACTGTGAAATAAAGGCAGTCCTGTGGAGACCTTAAACCTGTGGGGTTTACAGACGCTAACTCTGGGGAGATAGTGCCAGAATTGAATTGAATTATTGAACGCCTAGTTAGTGTTGGAGAGTTAGGAAAGCAGTGTTGAAAAATACACCATGTGTTTTGTTGGGGAGGAAAAAAACCTAACAGATCTATGTCTGGCTGGACACTCAGCTGCATTTGCAGACTACTTCACCGAAGAATTGAGAGTCAGTTTTCTTTAACACAGAGTGGGGGAGGGAGGCATCAGCTCCTACCTGAGACCTTGGTGTGCTGCTCTTCTCCAGGTGTTTAGATGGTCCAGAGACTAGGATGAAGGGATCTTCTGTAGTCTGAATCTGCCCAAATATAGGAAGATAAAAGTGATTAACTCCCAGCCATCTCTCTGACTGTTCCCATTTCCCTCAGCCTCAATTTTCTTTCTATTTCATGTGTGTAGAAAAAAGAGGTTGAGGAACACATCTGGTGATTTGGTGGGATTTTCTGGGATTTAGTGAGTGGTTGAGATTCTGAGGAGGAAGGTACAGGCGGACTAAGGGGCTTTAAGGGAGGATGGATAATAGTCGTTTGTAAATTGTTTAAGTCCTGTGACATAAACCCCTTTTGGTTACTACTAACTACATCCCCCCACCCCCACCCCACACCACCACCAAACTTAAAGTTTGCTTTAGCCCAAGGTTGGTGGTACTTTAAAGAAATAAAGGAAAAGGAGTTGCATTTTACATGATTGTGGATATAGGATAGAGAAAACAGGACACTGGAGGTCGGGCTTCTGGACATCTTTGGCCACCATTCTGTTATTTCATCTCTTTTCCCTGTAGGGAAATAGTGACTGCCACCAGATTGGAGCACTTCAAAGCTCCTCAGTAGTAGGTTTCTACTCTAGCTACAACCATCTGGTTTCTACTCCCCCCTTCTTCTGCCTAGAGACAATTTCAACAAATTAAAAGAGGAAGGAAAAAAAAAAAAAGCAACACTATTGCACTGCCCTGTTTCGATGCCGTATTTCTAGCAGGAGGTGGAGGAAGGGGATAAATGGGTCAAACACAGCACCACATCTGAAGGACTACAGGTTTGGAAGCCTGCTGGGGGATTAAGCAGAAACTGGCATCTGTAAATGGCCTTTGGCCTTCCCTGATTGTCAGCTGAAGCCATTTTCCTGAGAGGGGAGAAAAATAGCATCCATCCTAGAGCTGTCTCTCCCAGGGACAAATGCTGTAATCAGAATAGCAGCAGGCATGCTAAGTTCCCTCACCTTCTCCCACATTTAAAACAGCATGAATTTACATTCCTGGGGCTCTCTGACTGCCAAATAGAAGGGGAAATGCAGCTGGAGATCCCAACAAGGGCATGTTTTCTGGTTATCCAGACCCAATTTTGGCACAACCCCAATAACAGGTCCTCTATAGGTGTACAGTTTCAACCCAAGTCACATCCTAGAGTCACTGCAATATAAAATCCACCTAACGGTCCATGTTATCTCTCTGGTAATTTTAGAGAATTCATTTTGATTTGGAATTTTAAAAATATGAATATTAGTTTAGAGTGAATGTGAGCTACTTAGTCAGTTTCTTCAAATTGGTGCTATAAGAAACCGCAGGGGGACTCAGAGATGCACATCTCAAACTGGACTGGCATCTCATGAAAAGAGATATTGGGAGGCAGATTTCATCTGGGAGTCAAGTACAAGGAGGGGTAAAAATGAAAAAGAACCTTACCTGTGTGGGTATGTGACAGAGGCAACAAAAAATACATTAAGATACTGAGATCTGAGATGTTGGGGAAATCTGAAGGGAATGATCAAGTTATTTTCTTTTAGTGTCAAAAGAGATCATGTTATTGTAAATATTTTGGTGAGTACACTATCTAATAAATAGTTTATTTCCACTAAAAACAGGAGAAAGTACAATATATTGGGAACACACTTATTAATTTTACAAATATTTTTTGAGTGTTTTTATTAGGTGCTGTTCCAGGTTTTGTTGGTCCTAAAGCTTATATAATTTGGAGGCCTTTCTTCCAGAAAAGGAATCCAAAAATTTAAATACAAAATTAGATATATGGTCTTAGAAGGAACATACATGTAAGTGAGGTTCCCTGAAGTTTAGGCTTCGTTATCTTCGTGACAAATTTCCACGTTTGGCATCTGTGATACGCACAGTGGGCATCCGGTGTTTTGCCTCCTCTGTCTTTATTGTCATTTTCCCCTGATGATAGCACCTTAAATTTCCTTTGCGAAATCAGCCTTCTCTCACTTTTTGTCACACAGCCCATGAGGGGGCATATAACTCAGACCTGGCCAATCAGAGTACTACATTCTAGTGGCCACAATGATTGGTTTAGTCATGGGTATGAAATCGAAGCTGAACCAATGAACTTTAGGCCTTGGGACTTTTTCTGGAACTGCTAAAACATATGAAATTGCCATTATTCAACAATTTTTGACCTACATAAATGCAATTTATATATTTCAACTTAATATTAAGAGTTTCTTTCTTTTGGGTTGCTAGGGTGATAAAATGAAAGTTTGGAGTTTCTTGGCTGCATGAGAGCCAAACCAGAAAATATCAGAACGGAGAGATAGAGAAAGATTGATTCTTTTTTAATTTTTGTTTTTGTTGAGGTACAATTAACATACAACATTATATTAGATGTGTACAGCACCTAATCAGGTGTGCAGCATACTGATTCAATATTTTTATGTATTGCAAAATAATCACAGTAAGTTAACACATGTCGCTATACATAGTTACAGAATTTTTTTTCTTGTGATGAGAACTTTTAAGATTTATTCTTAGCAACTTTCAAATATACAATACAGTATTATTAACTATGGTTGTCATGCTGTACATTACATCCCCATGATTTTTTATTCTAAAACTATAAATTTGTATCTTTTGGTTTATTTTACCAACCCCCACCCCCTGCCTCTGGCAACCACGAGTCTGTTTTATGTATCTGTGAGTTTAGTTTTCTCTTTTAGACTCCACATATAAGTGAGATCCACATATATAGCATATGTCATTTGTCTTTCTCTCCTGACTTATTTTACTTAGCATAATGCCCTTAAGTTCCATCCATGTTGTTGTAAATGGCAAAATTTCATTCTTTTTTATGGCTGAATAATATTCCACTGTGTGTGTGTGCATGCACACACACACACACACACACATACACATGCATCTATCACAGTTTCTTCATCAGTGGACATTTTGCTTGCTTCCATATCTTGGCTATTGTAAATAATGCTGTAATGAACATGGGGGTGCATATATCTTTGAGTTAGTGTTTTCATTTTCTTCAAATAAATACACAGAAGTGGAATTACTAGGTCATACAGTAGTTCTATTCTTTAACTTTATGAAGAAACTCCGTAATAGTTTCCACAGTGGCTATACCAATTGACATTCTCACTAACAGTGCACAAGAAATTCCTTTCTCCACATCCTTGCCATTACTTGTTATTTCT